CCTTTATTTTATTTTCCTTATATTTCTGAGGTAAATGAATTAGAAACTCTATATGCACAGTTATAGTTTATGAAATGTTTTCTATAATGGAGGTATTTTTGTTTGTTTCTTAATTTTCTCATGTACTTCTGTTTGAATTCTTTTCCCCTTTTTCCACTGCTTTTTTTCCCTATGCCTAATTTTCACCATAATTCTTCTAAGAGTACAAAACTAGAATTGCATTTATTTTTCCTCTGGGTCCTCAATCTCTTTTTTGACATTGTTTCCTGATTTTTCTTTCTTATCTTCACCTGCCTCTCCATTCCTTCTTTCTGGTTTTTCTTTGTATCTCCTGCATCATTTTCTCCGAAGTGCTCTTTGGCCTTAAGTCTCCAAGTTATCCTTATTCTACACCCTTCCCACCTCTTCTTTTGCAATCTAAACCTTTTTCCTTCATCTAGAATACAGTGGATACATTTGGAGTTCCAAATTTATCCTCTTACCAAACAATTCAGAATATCAGAAATAACAAAATAATTTGTTACTGTTCCTAGTCTTAAATAAATCTGCAGTAATGCACAAATCCATGACTTTACAGATGTGGCTTATTGTGCAGATATCTATATAGATTAAAAAGCTATAAAAGTTCTATAGATGCCTCCATAATCCACTTCTTTTACTTTTTTCCCAGTGACATAATCATGTTTAACAAATATGCAGAATGTGTGAAAATTGTTGGTTTTTTTTTTAAATTCCAGTTTAATCCGAACTATTCGCATTACTCTAATTAACCTGAAGAAAGCCATTAAAGGACTGGTTGTTATGGATGCTGCCCTGGAGGCTCTGTCTGGCAGTCTCCTTGTTGGAAAAGTTCCTGAGAAGTGGGCAGAGCATTCATACCCAAGCCTAAAACCATTAGGGAGCTATATTGTCGATTTGCTAGCAAGGCTGAAATTTTTACAGGTAATGTACAAGAGGCAGTGCTGCCACTTGTTCAATATACATTTCCATATAATTTGTCTTTATTGGGAAATAAATGAAAGGCTTTGTTTAGATTTCTTGAATACAATTATGTAGAAAATAGTCAAAGAGTATGGGATTCCTCTCTTTCTGATTGTTCAATGTATTGCCTTCCTCTCTCCAGGATTGGTATGAATTAGGGAAGCCTGCTGTTTTTTGGCTGTCAGGATTCTATTTCACTCAAGCTTTCCTAACTGGAGCCATGCAAAACTATGCTAGGAAGCACAGGATCCCTATTGACCTTCTAGGATATGAATTTGAGGTATGGATAAATTATAAATTAGTATTTTATTAATCTGAGTCCTGATGTTATGGTGAGATGAAGTAAATAAATCCTAACTGGAAGGTTAATTTTGCAACTGACAGCAGTCTGAAGACATACATTTGGTTAGACTGGCAGGCTAAATAACCTTTGTAGAAGAGGTATTCTCAAAGTGATTAAAAGTATTTCTATCACTGGACCCAGAACTCTCAAAAAACAGCCTATCCAGTGTATATTTTTCTATGTGATTAAAGCCTCATTTTTTAACCCACAAGAAAGGTAATTAACAAACCCAGAGAAGTCTGCTGTCTCTACAGATATGTATAAAAGTAGCATTGAAAGGAAGGGTTACTATGTTATCCTCAGTTTGGTTTGGTCTGAAAATTGGCATAATAGCTCAAAAATCAAAGAGCTGTGAGAGTTTAATGACTTGGAACACTTATTTCCTGCAGGTTATTCCACAGGATACTGCTGATACTGCACCAGAGGACGGTGTTTACATCCATGGATTATTTTTAGATGGAGCTCGCTGGGACAGGACCAAGTCAGTAGCCAAGTGTTTTACTGTGGTTCTGGAAAGCTTTTTACAGTGCTCAAACAAGACTGGTTTAAATAATTTAAGTGATACTTTTCATATTGTTGAAATAACACCCCAAATTAAGTGCTCTTTCATGCATGGAAAATGGGGAAGAAAAAAATACAAACAGCAAGTAACAACCAAAAAACACCCACTTGAAGCCACAGTTACTTTGCATATCTGCACTGTGTGCATTTGTTCTCAAGGCAAAAACCCTTTCTCAAAAAAAAAAAAAATCCTTTTCTCTTTCCAGGGGAATGTTAACTGAGCAGTATCCCAAAGTGCTCTTTGATGCCATGCCGATCATTTGGATAAAGCCAAGTGAGTGTGATTTCTCTGATGTGTGAGCTATTCAGCAAGAAATTGCACCAGTGGTTTCCTTTTTTTACTGAAGATCACTGAGGAGAATTTTGACTGACTTACAGAGACTGAGTGCTCTGTAAGCTCTGTATTAGCTGTCTTTCCTACTAGTAAGATAATTTTCACAACTCTTGTTTTCTTTGATTGAGAGGAGTAAATCTCTGTTTTTTATTTATGTACAAAATCAGGACTTACTACTGCAACTGCTTCAACTTAAGTGCAACTTAGTAAATAGGCAGTATTAAAATTTGTCACTTTTTCTCCTTGTGCCTTCTCTTGAAGTTGGATGAATTTGTTCAGACCTGCATGATTTTATGCTTTGCACAAGTTCCATGCAAGCAGTCTGGGCATACAAAGAGTTCCTGCAGAGTTCTGTCCTTGGATCTCAGATGACTTGAATTGCAGTTAGGTTCTCTGGCAACTAGACCTGAATTCTTGTACAGCTGTGAAAAACTCATGTATAAGCTATGTATTAACTCGGTTAACTATTCAGATTTTAATGTTATCTTTGAGTATTACAAAGCTGGTAGAATCACAGGAAGGCATTGAGTCCTGAAAATAGATTTTAGCTAAATTAGTTAGGTTTAAGAACAAAACAAACCACACAAGAAAACACAAGAAGAAAAAGCTGGATAATTTTATTCTGTTGCTCAGAAAACAATTTTGCATTTTTATTGACCCTTTAAAGATGTTACTGTAAATACTTAACACTTGCATGTGGATTATGTTACTGTGAATGTAATGCATTATTTTGGGTTTTTTTTGAAGCTGTAAAATCGGACATAAAGAAATCTACAGCCTATGTTTGCCCCCTCTACAAGACAAGTGAGCGCAAAGGGGTCCTGTCCACTACTGGGCATTCCACAAACTTTGTCATTGCTTTGAGGCTCAACACGGACCAGCCCGTCCAGCACTGGATCAAGAGAGGTGTGGCCTTGCTGTGCCAGCTGGATGACTGACTGTGGACACTTCACATACAGACTTCACATCTTGTTCTCTTTGCTGGCTTACAGAGAAAGTGGAATTTAGTGTGTAAAAAAACACATCTGTGTTGTAAGAGGGCATACAAATACTTTCTGATCCTCAAGCTTTTGTATTAAGTATGTATTATTAATATGACCATCTTTACAATCTGTAAGCAGTACAACTAGAGTTTTAGCCCTTGGTGATATTATTAAAGTGTGAACATCATTTTTTGTGCATTAGTTGAATCTCACAAAATATATTTTCATGGGAAATGAAAGTATTCTGTGCTTTCTGAGAGAAACATTACAGGTAATAAACTTGATTCTGCACTTTTGTTTTCTTTAAAAATAATTTTAAAATATTACTCAAGCATTCTTTCTATGTCTGCTCTAGCAAAAAGCTGTTTCCACCTTGCATTCGGATACAGCCATCATCTGTTCTGTGTATGGATGTCTCTATAAAATACAGTAGGAATAACTGAAACACATAAAGGTCTCACTCCATCCTACCATCACTATTACAATCTGTGTCTCATTTCCCTGCTTATTGGGTTGAACCAGTATAAATCTGTCTTTCTGAAACTGCTTTTCCCTTTAAAAATTCTATTTTTCAATAGCTTTTCCATTTATATTAATGTGAATTATGGTTAAGCAATCAGGAACATGTAATAATTTTAATAGATGTTTTGCTTGATTATTTGCTTGGTTTTGTTTACTTTTATTGTTTCAGGTTTTTTTTCCTACTGTCTCACTCTTAAGCAAGCTCCTAAGACCATCTTCAGTTTGCTCTCCTAGGACAGCACTAAAGAATTTTCTTTTTACAGTGTTATATTTACTGCTCTAGTTCTGAAATTCTTATTCCGAAAATCAGAAGTATTTTTACAAGGAAACCAGACTTTTAATTCCTTCTTTTGTTGGCAACACTTAGCAGGTCAGATTATTAAACATAACTGACGTGTGTGAGAGAAACGTGGAGAAAGTCCCAGAGTATCTTATGATCGGGTATTTATAGTGAGCTATTCATGGACATGGGCTCTGCAGAGATTGTTTACAATCCTGAAAATGTCACTTCCAGCTTAATAATCACTTCTTCAAAGGCTGAGATTCTTCCCTCTTCCAGAAGGTAAGGAAATCCAGTATGTTTTCTCAATTCATAGGAAAATGAGTAATATTTTTAGGGAAAAATAGTAGTCTAGACTCAAAATATTTATGTACTCATTGTGCCATGGTAGAAGCAATTACTAACAGTTTCTTGCTGTGTATGCTGCTAATATATTTCTCTTTTTTGCTACCTATGCAATTACAGAGCAAGGCCTTGCAATCACACATTAGGTGGATCAGGTACCAAATTAAATTATGCAGATTTGCTGTGAATTACTACTGCCCAACTTTAAGATGTTTCTAGAATTATTCCGAGCTTTGTAGTTGGCATGTTGACAACTTCCTTAAATTTCCTGTGTTCATTCATTTTGCCAAGTTATTTATTAGCTTTCAGTTTTATTTACTAATTTTATTTTACCTCGCCCTGTAGTTTTGTTTTGTTTTGTTTTCTCAGGCCAGCTCTCTTGAAAGACAGAAGTGGAAGTTTTGATAAGGTAAAACAGATGAGAGGTTTGAGCCTCACAGAACATCTGACATCTGGAATATGCCAAGAACAGCATGACTGCTTAAGCAAATAACAGTGCAGTCATTTATTTTAAACTGTTTCATTTCTCTTGATACTGGCACAGTGATTGCTATTTCTATTAATCCAGATCTAACCTGAAGATTTAATGTCTGCTTCTAATTAAAAAGCAGTGTTTCCATACAGAAGTGATCTATGTTATGCTGATTTGCCATGAATAATTCTGTGTATATGATTGATGGTGATTCTGATGAGGAAATCTCTACCCAGCGAGCTATTCAGGAAAGCTTACAAGATAGTCATAAATTTGAAACAAGTGGCAATGCAACAGAGATTGAAAGGTAATAAGTTATTATGTCTATTTGGGGTGTTTTCTTGGCATTATTGTAAGAATTTAGTAGACCTTATTTTCCTTTGTAACTCCATTGTATTGTGCTGACCTTGTTCCATGGATACTGGAAAGCACTGGTAGCTCACTTGTTCTGAATTCTCCCTGAAAAAGTGTATGTTTTCTGGAAAATACAGACTGTATGAAACTTTCAGGTGATGCTTTACATCAATATGTAAATGAGTATAAGACTTTGTGAAGAAAATCAGTAGGTGATGTAAAAGTAGATTGCTATGGGAGCTTCCCCTCATTTTAGCATTTAATTGTTGGCCTTTGTGTGAAAAATTCAGTATTTACTGTGTCAGGGAAAGGCCAAAAAAAAGTGTTTCAATGTGTTAAATTCTCACAAAACCAATGTAACTTAGAGAAATCTAATATATTGTCTAAATTAGAGTATTTAAAGTAAGCTATAATTATATCCTTAGCTTCACATGAATTTTTAATTCTCATCTTATTCTTGTTGTGTTTATGCAGTTTCCAGTATACCACAAGTAAAGAACATGGGCAGATCATTGCAGCAATTCGGACAGTTAAGTACAAATACACCACACTAAGCCTACACCACTGGGAATGGCTGAGCAATGCCTACATTTTAGGGGTTTGATCACCTGATTTAAGTGCAGATTTTCTTTATATAGTCTTGGGAGAAGTAAGGAAACTAAAAACAAGACATCCAAAAGCTGACTTATTAGATAGGATCATGGAAGTGGGATGGGTTCAAGTGTCATCCCCTTCAGAAATTCCAGTGCTTCATCTCCTAAAATTAGGGGAATATTCCATGCCTTTTTTCTAAAATGGGCAAGATACACTGGTGGGATAAGTGGCACTCAGTGTATTAGTTGTCTGAATTTTGTCTTCTGATGAGTAATGGGATATGTGTCTGTGTTAAAATATCACAGGCCAAGAGGAGGCCTTGAAGAAGCTGGTGAAGCACAGTTCTGCTTTTGAAGAAGCAGATGAGCAAGGCTGGCTTCCTGTGCATGAAGCTGCAGCACAGCTAAATAAGAACATCCTTGAAATAACTTTAAAAGGTACAAAGTCCTTCTAGTTTTCCACCAAAAAGTTTTACAAAGTAAAATTTGATGAATCATCCAACTTCAAACGTGTTCTGCTTTTCTGTGTTTCAGCCTCCCGTGACATTACGTGGGAACAGTCCACTCTGAAAGGGGAAACACCTCTCTTGGTGGCAGTAAGAAATTGTATTGTGGACAATGTACACTTTCTCCTGCTCAATGGCTGCAATCCCAATGTTAAAAATGAAGAGGGAGATTCTCCTTTAGTGATAGGTGAATATTACTTTTAGGGGTGGAGAGGTGAGGGAATGAGGTGAGGATATAGTTACACATTATAGGTTTCAACATGACATTTTTTACTTCAATGCCTAAATACTTTGCTATAAGGAGAAAAAAAAATGTTCATCTAAGCACTGAATGTGTCTGTCCCTGTCTGGTTTTGTCAGATGATAATTAGCTTTCTCCATGAAGTGCAGTGTCGTCCTCTGCTTTCCTTGGCATCATTTCTGCAGTGGTGCCAGGTAGTGAGTCCTGCTTCTTCATGCTATGACTGTCCTTCATGTCTGCAGGCATAGAACTTTCATATTCTCTGTCCACATGGTATCTCCTTCATTGCATCAGCCTTTCTTTCTCCAAAACCCATGGTAATTGGTTTTAATTATGCAAAATTATAGCCAACCAGCCTGATTTATCTGCAGTATGTAGAGTGCTAAGCAGTGTTTGTCCCTATTTAGATATTGCCAGCATTAGTCCAAGGATGACAAGTGAAGAAGACAGGCTGACATTCTCAGTTCACTTCTCTTTAATATTGTGAAATTTAGGAATAAAATCCCATACCTACTATACCTACTATAGTATAGTCTCATACCCACATTCTTTGTGTGAATGCCACTTTAATTTGATCATACACAAGAACTGTAATTCGTGATTTCTAAAGAACTATATTTTGCCAAAATGTTTTTCAAAAGTGTTCTGTGTTCATTTCCTTTGTTTCCCTCAGTCTGGGCTATGATGCCTTCATTCTTCCTGAATCCTACCCAAAAAAAGGAAAGTGTCTTCTCATTATCTAAATTCTAAAGGAGCACTCTTAAGTTTCTTGGATGATCCTATACATTTTTCTGTATTGGAAGGGTGGTTTCTCTTTCAAAACTATTGTTAAGGGAGGAGATAAAGGCCTACCAATCATGTGTAGGACCCTCAGTCCATCCTAGTAAAATGGCTGCAGCTTCAAGTCAGGGCCATCTGCTTAAAAAAATGTGTGGAACTCCTAGATACTTTTGAAGTGCATGACATTAAAATGCACCATCTCCCAAGGAGGGGATGCATGGGATTTGTCTAAAGCAGCTGTGTAGGTTACTACAGATAATGGGACATCACAGTTTCTGTCACAGAATGCTGTCTCTGGTGTTCAAGCAGCTGTGGCACATGAAGCTGCTCAGCCTAATCTGGCCTGCTGAAGGGCATTCACTATCCTGCACAGCCTGGAAGATCAAAGAGAGAAGGAGGGAAGGGTGTTGCCTAATCATTTCATCCACTGGAACTAATGCAAATTTCTCTTTTAAGATCCTTGCTGACTTAAGAGTTCAGGCTTATTAAACTAAGAAGGCATATGAAAGAGTCATTATAAGCTTTATTTCGTATTGTGATAATGTTCGTGGAGATTAAACAGAGCTCTGATGGCAGCTCCTGAGCACGAAGGCCCTGAGTGTGGTCTCCAGCTAGTGGCAAGGAAAGCTGTGTTCAGTTCCATTACAAAATGCAACAGAGAGAAAAATATCTACAGAAGAAAAAGATATTACCACGAAATGATTCATTTACATACTTAGTGCTGTCCTGGAAGCAAAGAACAGACTTGTTGGTGAGATAAACCTTTCAGTGTAGGGCAGCATTTCTCTTTGCATAAATAGCACTGCCAGGAGCAGCTTTCCTGGGCTGCCACACGGCAGCAGCCATGGTGTACAGAATAGCATGGAATAACAATGCTGTCGGATGCTTTGCTTGTTGTCCCACAGCAATTAAACTTGATTCCTATGACATTGCGTCCTTGTTGCTGCGATGTGGGGCCAGAGTGAATTTGCGCTGTGTCCATGAGAGAACTGCTCTGCACGAGGCAGCCAGACTGGGCAGGAAGGACCTGGTGCAGCTGCTCCTGGATGCTGGAGCAGATCCCGACCCCCGCAGTGGATATGGGCTCACACCTCTAGCACTGGCTGCACAGATGGGACATACAGAAATTATGGAGCTCTTACTGCAAAAAGGTGAGACTTTATTATATAGGACTTTATAGAAGAGAAGGTTTCAGATATGCCTTCAAAAACAGCAGCAGAAGTAGCTCACCTTACTAGAGAAAATTAAATGCTATCTGCACTGAGGGTTGTTGTGATGTAGTAAAGGCCTGATAAATATCAATTTGTATAATATTAAAATAAAATCTTAATAATATATTTGTTTATTAATATATTCATAATATTTTTTTAATAGTCTGTTATTTTCTCATGTGGACAGTTCACTCTAGGGCACACTTGGCAAGATAGTTATTGTGAGGGATTTTACATGATAGTTCAGCAGCACTGGAACTGCATAGCATGAACTGTTTGGATACTGGGTGCTCTCATGTTTACAGTTACACCTGCCTGGACTTTGTAAAGTAAAAGAATTGAAATGCATTGTTTGTAAGACAAAAGCAATTGTTTCGATAAATAGGAAGCAAACCTTTTGCTGGTGCAGTTCTAGGAACAATTCTTACTGTGTTCAAAGCAATTTGGATCTTCTTGTTCCCAGGATTACATAAACACACCTAAAATCTAGGATCCAACATGAAGATGCCCACAGTGATTCTGTTTGGTGAAAAATAGAATTCAAAATACCATACCACTGGGGGGTTGGAGATATTAATTACAGCTGGATATTTACAGTGACTACTGTGAAAATCCTTGCTGCTTCTTCCCAGGTGCAGATGTTCTTTCACAGGCAAAGGACTGTGCTTCTATATTGTTTGAAGCAGCAGGAGGAGGAAATCCAGATTCTGTGAGTCTTTTACTAGAATATGGGGCTGATGCCAATGTACCAAAGCACTCGGGTCATTTGCCAATCCACAGAGCTGCATATAGAGGACACTTTCTGTGAGTTAATATACTTAAAAATCAAATAATAGTGACACCAGAAATATTAATTTTACTAATATTACTGTATTCAAATCAGACAGAAAATCTGAAGTTTTGTACAAGGAATTATTTTTGACTGTGTAAATATGTCTGTTCTGTGTCTGAATGTAAGAGACCAGTCAGGATAAAATCTTCATGATTTTAGGAGGTGCGTCTTAATCCCTATGGTATTTCCCTTATTGTCCCAAGTAGTAACACTGTCCAGTCTGATGCTGACGTTCTTGGGACATTGTCATTCTCTTTGGGTCAATGTCTCATCTCCCCCACATCACAGAAATGTGAAGGGTGAATATGCTAAATAGACAAATAGTGAGTAAAGGTTATCCCTATATTAAAGAGAGTAAGACTAGAGGAAGATATTTATGCTGAAATCACAACTAACAAATGAGAAGCAAGCACCTGAGTATTCTTAATTTCTGTATTAATATTTCCTGTATATTAACTGTTATATTTAAACTTAGATGTATATATTACATTACAGATTATATGTATTCATGTTATAATATATATTCTATTAATTCCTTAATCCCTATAAGTTAAGTAGTAATGCCATGCTTTCAACATTCAGGAAATATTTCTCTTGGGAAGGAATCATTAATTCCTATAGCAAGGAATGGGTTGTTCATGAATAATAGTATAATATTTTATGTGTAGTAGGTGTCAAGTCAGTATCCATTGCTGGCTAAGAATTTCATTGTTAGCAATTCAAGTCAATGCATGCCATGGTACTGATTTGATATATTAAGACTATTCTAACAGTCATGATGAATTCTAAAGCCCAGCAACACAGAGAAATTCAAAGATGAGTTAGATGAACCAAAATTTAAGATTCTGAGATGCTTCTGTTTTTAATTTTTCAGAGCTCTAAAATATTTAGTTCCAGTGACTGATTTTGCTGCCATTAAAGAAAGTGGGATAAGTCCAGTTCACTCAGCAGCAGCAGGAGCACATCCTCAGTGCCTTGAGTTTCTCCTCCAGTCGGGTTTTGATGCCAATTTTATGCTGGCTCAGCGAGTTCGCAAAGGCTACGACGACCACCGGAAATCAGCGCTGTACTTCGCTGTTTCCAACGGGGATATCTGCTCAGCACAGCTGCTGCTGAACGCCGGAGCCCTGACCAACCAGGATCCCATCAACTGCCTCCAGATAGCCTTGAGAATGGGCAACTACGAGTTAATGCATCTGCTGCTCCGCCACGGGGCCAATGTCAACTACTTCTGCCGTGTGAACACCACGCATTTCCCTTCAGCTCTGCAGTACGCCCTCAAAGACGAGGTGATGCTGAGGATGCTGCTGAACTACGGCTACGACGTGCAGCGCTGCTTCGACTGCCCCCGGGGCAGCGGGGACCACTCCCAGTACGTGACCGCCGGCTGGACCTCCACCGTTATCAAAGACACCATGGTAAGTGTCACACAGCTGTCCTGCTACCAGTGGCATGCCTAAAACTAAATGGAAAGGACGTAATGCACTGCCAGAAAAAGAAGTTTTGAAGACAGCTTACGCATAAAGAGAGGAATAGATAAGGCTTTAAAATTAAACAGATGTTGTTATGAAGCCCAGTTCGCAATGGCAAGTGATTGTAAACAGTAATTTTGAATCGTGAAAATATAGCTGATGATATGCTAATGATCGGTGTGGAACTGGCTCTCCAGGGCAGTGTTGTCCACGCTGTGAAAGCAGAGATTTGCGGGATGGCTCTCTGCATTGTCCTGTACCAGAACACCAAGACTGGAAAGCTGTTAAACAGGACCCCTGGAGCTGGTGGGATAAGCACTGAGCAGAAATTAGCAAACCTGAAGAGCTTCCTGGAGACACTCATCCGTGTCATTGTTTTACAGTTTGTAAAGTCCATTTGAACCTAATAAACCCTTCTTTAACCTAAAGATAAGGAGATGATGCATACACTGGATTGGTGGATCCCCCTATTAAGCACCTTGGACACAAGTCTAAATTCCACTTAGAATGGTAGCACTTCTTTTTAAGCACCAGGTCCCCAAAATACACAGCTGCTTAAGTTTATTTTTAGATCTAGTACAAAATAACTATATCTCAGATGTTTTAATTGTACTACTGAGGCTTAGGCAAGCTGTGATAACCTCTAAAACCCTGCTCAAGTTAAGTTAATTGCTCTTGTCCTCAGAGACAGAAGTAATTTACTGCAGTATTGAACATTTTGTTTCTATCAGTTCTGTGAGGTGATAACCTTGTCCTGGCTGAAGCACGTGTCTGGGAAAGTAGTGCGAGTCATGCTGGATTACGTCGATCACGTTAAGATTTGCTGGAAGCTCGAAGCTGTTCTCAAAGAACAGGAACTCTGGCCAGACATTCATTTCATTTTAAGTAAGTATCTGTTTATGTAAGTATCTGTTATGTTTTTAATGAAAACAAGCCGGTTTGGCAGTGGGACCTTTTTGGTTGATAGCATTTTAATTTTGCTTCTCCTTTCTAGCAAACCCTCGCTCTCTGAAGCACCTTTGCCGGCTGAAGATCCGGGCATGCATGGGACGGCTGCGGCTCCGCTGTCCTGTCTTCATGTCCTTCCTTCCACTGCCAAACTGCTTGAAAGACTACATCCTGTACAAGGAATATGATCTTTATGGACAGGAAAACTTCACGGGGATCTACAACCTCAACTGTGCATAAGTATTAGTCCTGTACTTTGAAGGGAATTTAATGTGGACAAGACTGTTATGCTTCTTTCTTTTGGGATTTTCTCTCCTCTGTATATTAAGGAATGCCAGCACTGTCCCCTCAGCCCCTGAAGAAAATGGCAAGACCCCAAAAGGTAAGTATTGGTGATCCCATTCTAAGGATCTCCTGGACTATGACCGATCTGGAAGTTATGCCAACAGTATTTTAAATGCCTAGTGTGCCAAGTTAAGGAAGTGTAGAATACAGGGCTGCAGGCCTTGTGTTATGGCTAAGTTAAAGCCTGTCATATCAGATACCACTGCCCCCATTCCAGGGTTAAACTCAGGGTTTAAAGGTCAGGGATTTGACTAAAACCAGGAAGGGATGTAGTTTTCTCTTGTGCTTCTTCTCTTCTCTTGACAAGTAGTTTTTATTTGTGAAGTCCTACAGTAAAGTTCTGAAGAGCAGCTTAAGGAATTTTTTTCCTCACCTAATAAAGCAATCCCCCATTCTAGGCAATGAAATGGGATCAAGCTTGAGAAACCTCTGCTCATCACAGCAGGTCATGTGACATGACATCACCAAGATGGCATTGCTGAAAGCTGTGTTAATTCTGTAGCTCCTTCTCAGGTACTGGTGTATCTCATCCACCATGAACTTGGACTCATGTTCATCAGTTCTCTAGAACTGGGTTTTCCTTACACAGTGCTGTTCAAAACCATGATTGCAATTTTAGGTGTTTCTCTATAGAGGTGGAGCTTAAACTTTTGGAGCCCTGTCATTTTAGGAAGTCTTACAGAAGTTTTAGACCTACAGCATGCTTGTTCCCTCTAAAAATACTGCATATATCAGTTACTGTTTTAGAAGAAAGAAGTTCATCAACACATTTGGCATTAGTAGTATTTATTCCTTCATAATCAAGTAAGCATAGATTTTTTTTTCTAGTTGTACATGCATCTTTATCACAGAAGTTACAGAATTCAAAAGTCTGCTTTTCCCCAGAAAAATCTACAAACCTTATAAAATACAAATTTAACCATAATGTGGTTATGGCCCATGGTTTTTTTACATGGTGTTTATCCCATAGTAAACAAACTCAGCCTGTGAAGATATGTCCAGTGCCCATGGTAGTGGTTGTGCTGGTAGAGCCTCTGCACTCAGCTTGTTCTGCAGAGGCCTCACTGCCCCCTCCATGGGCCCTGCCCAGCCAGCTGCCACAGCTCCTGCTCACCTTCAGTCTCTGATTGTTGCAAAAATAAGTTAAGAGCATTCCCAAGTGTAACAACTTCCTCTGAGGTTATCTGGCTAATACTATAAAAATTAAGAGAACTGAGCTACACTTGACAACAGAGAGCTATGCCTGCATGTCAGGAATGGAAGGGAGCACATCCTGTCACCAGTAATGGTCCTTCCTGAAAGTCAGTATGATGAAGAATGCAGGAAGCTTTTGCATCAGTACAAGTCCCACCCAGAAAGTTACTATAGTTAAGCTTTTATTTAAAATATAAAATGCTGACTGGAGCCTTGCACAATAGGGTTACTATCCATGGTTCCAAGATTAAGACACAACAATCAGAGCTGACATAAATATGCCATTGGTTGTTCTTAATACAGCTATTCAGAGAAAATGTGCAAGTCTGTCTCAAACACTGCAAAAATCACTTACACTTCACCAGAACAGGACCAATCCAGAACACCATCATAAGAATTTGACCACTCCACTCTATTATAAAAATGACCAGAAAGATTGTACAAAATCCTCGGCTTGCAATATAAACTTCATTAGGAATACAAGTGCATTCACAATGATACACTGACTTACTCTTGTCATGACAACTTAGATACCACTGTGGCAGGGAAAAAAATGTCAACTCAGTGCTTACTTAAAACAAAGAGCCTTGGGGACTAATTACTTTGCAAGAAATTTTGTAATATAGAGCAAGAGAAATAATATAAAGTATCAGCTTTTGCTGTTACACTAGACAATATCTCTACTAAATTCACTAAGCAGTGGCAGTTTTCTTTCTCTAGGTGAACTATTTCCTAAATAAAAAGAGACTATATTGTAGCATAGTTTTCACCATTGGCTTGTCCCAAATGCTGTGCAACTAATTAATCAGAATTTACCTTAAGCAGTCAAATTTATTTCTTTATATTCATGTATATCAATTACAGCTTCATAAATTGCATCAGCTGTTTCACAATTTTCAGCTCTGGGCCTACATCCATATAAAGAGGAAATCTGACAGCCCTCAGGAAGGCTAATGTTTCTTAACTCTAAATATTACTTTACAGTTAGACAGTAAATTGTCTTGATACAACTTCAAACTCAAACAGATTAAGGAAGTAAGACTATGATATGCAACTGACTTTTCACCACCTGATCATATCCAGTTAGATATATTTAAGTAGTACATTACTTTAACCTTGTCATCTGGTTCAGACTTGGCCAAATCTAGCAGCGACCACAGAGGAGTGCCAGCTATCATCTGTAATGCAGTAAAATGCATACCCGTAAGCACACCTGATATATTTGTATATTCACTCCATTACATACATAAAGAATGTATGTAGCTTGAAACAGCAAGGCTGGCTTGGTCTGCAGTGTGCAGATCTACACAGCGTAACAAGCTTCATATCCTCTTACTTAAGGGATAAAAGTTTGGCAGTAATTATGAGGCTGCAATTAGCAACATAAGATAGTCCTGAACAACACTGCCAATTCAGTACCTACATGAAGTCACTTCAAAATCATGGACTTGAAAGAATATTTTCAGGAGTGACTGAAGTAATAGTAGATGCACATGAAGCAAACTACAGCTTCAGCCAAAAGTGATTGAAAAATCAGTTTGTGAATAGAAGGCAACAGGAAATAATAAACAAGAGAGTTTATTTAATATCCTGTAAACCATCCAGTATTTTAGTTACAATAATAAAATATTCTGGTGGTGAAATCCTACCACAGAAGTTCCAGCAGACTGTGAGGTGTTCCCACTAAAAGTTATATACTCTCAAGGAAAATACCAAGCATCATCCTGATTTTTTTATCAACCAAGCTGTTTTCTAATGAAGTAGTTCTAAACCTTAGAGAACTAGCTTTTCCTTACAGGAGAAGGGCAGGGATAAAACCTCAGCAGCTATTTTTGCCTTGAGATAGTTCTAATTTCAATCTGTGTGATCCTCCCCAGGCAAAGCTCAGTAATTCTCATTCCCCTGTTAACTCAATCACTTCTTGTCTGACTTCCCCAACTCTGCTGACATGCCCTTTGCTCCTGCAGCTTTCATCATTATCCCACATGCTTGCTCATTTTACACCAATGAAACTCCCCTACATAAGCAACCAACCAACCCCTTTCATTCATGCACATCAATGGTTTAGTGGTTAAGATGAGAATCATCCAAAATAAGTTAAATGTATTCCTATTCTGTTTTAGAAAGCTACATTTAATGGCATATATGGAAAGTCTGAAAAGCAAATGGAATAATTCCAATATTTATTGCTAAATCAAAGAAATCCCATTTGACAGTAAATTCACCTGCCAACTTTATTAGCCTTTCTTCCTCATCTTTGCAGGTTTATAGTTATAGGAGTAGTGGTAGTTTTTGAGAAAAATACAGTAATTCCATTTTCTGACATTTCCTTAATAAGGCTAATGCAAAACAGGCTGCATATCAGAAATGCTTTTTCATGAGAGTGCTTGTCTATTATTTGTCCTCGCTCTGGAGCCTGGGCTACTGCAGCTCCAGTGCTTAACACAATCAGTCCTTCTCTGACAAGCTGAGGACTGGATTCTAGACACTGGAGATGACTGATTTCAGAGGCTCCCTGTGTTGTTTTCAAACTGCTTCATCCTCTGTAAATACTTGAGACTCAAGATACAAGACACAGTAACCTTGAGCTACTCTGTGATATGATTTGATAGAAAACAAGTATCAGTACATAAAACCAAACACAAACGAACATGAACTGGAATAACTTGCAGAGACAAACTGCCTAGCCACGCTCTGTAAGCCTTGATTTAAGCACAAAAAGGGAAAAATTGGATTTGGTGCCTCTCTGTACATTCTTGTTGACAATAATAAAAATAGTCTCTTAAAAAATGGGAGCTGAGAATGGAAGCCTAGATATGAAATAAAAATGCCACTGTCTTTTAAAAGAAGCCTCAGGTTGGTGTGGTCCACATGGCACTGTGCCAGCCAAATCCAGCCACAGGGCAATACTATGTGACCTAACTGGGCAACAGCAAAAGCAGATATTTCTACAAGTGCCTGGCTACTCTGGGGATGAAAAACACACTGGCACAGGACCTGGTAACTAACTCAGGAAGAGAACCTGGCAGCTCTCTCTCCCTCAGCCTCTCTCCTTTTTCAAGACAGAGTCCTTTGGTGGCTGCTCAAGCCCCTGCCTGTGGTGCAACCTCTGCCCAGAGCTTCTGCAGCTCCAGCTGCCTCTGCTCCTGCCCAGGGCTGCGAGGGCAGGCACTGCTGCCCTCCTCTCCTGTCACAAGAGCTGAGGCCACCAACTTCTGCACACAAAGTCATTCTCCAGCACCAAGGGCAGGAGGAGGCTGCCAGCTTTGGCCAATGCAGGGCACTCACATGAGTTAGAGAAGCCCTCTGTACACCTACAGCCATCCAGAAGACATGACCTGAGATTCCTCACTTATTTTATCTGCACTGAGCAACTCCAGCTAGGAAGGGCTGGGCCACCATCAGCTGCCGAGGAGATACTCTGAAAATTGCTTCCATTCCTGAACACCAGAAATGCCCTGCAATGAACTGTAAATCACTCATAACTGTTATATTATAACTTGGAATATAAGTATATTCTTTTCTCTCTACATATCCTCTTATTTTCATGCCACTATTAGAGAGCTATCTTCTGTTCCTCTGGATTTTAATATTTATAGTAATTAGTGCAAAAATAAATATTTCTCTTCAAACAAGATTTCTTTTCTGGATCAAGAGGTGAATGCACATCTAATACTATACAAAATAAATATTACACAGGATATGGAATATGGAGTGCAGATTACAAGCTGTAAACAGACACCACTTTGAAAAATGCTTTCCAGAATTGACTCTAGGATGTAGGACTAGTGTCATCTCTTACTTCAGAACTGGTAAATTCTGTTCGCAAAATCATAGAAAGACTAAGGAGCCTCAACTCATTTTCAGTAGATCTAGTGTACTAGCAGCAAGGCATTTACATATGCAGAAGATTTTTCAGATGATCGAATTCAAGATGTTCCTGCAACTCTAAGCATGTTTTATAAAATGAAGTCCAAGGTTTACAGCTTTTTATTCCAAGTACTGGGCAAAAACCAAGAACATGGCACTTGTGCTACAAGGCTATATACATTACTTTTATAATTTGATGAAGAATGCTTTTCCTTATGCAGCAAAGTTCAATTGCATCTCATCAGTGCTTATCTAGGTCTGAC